TGCGCTTAGCAGAAGACTTTACAATATTAATGACTTTGTCTAATATAGAAAAGAATTTCCAAATAGGATCACATTGCTTTGTTGCAGCCACCAATGTCAATTGCAACCTATGAGCAAAACAATAGACACAATACGCAAATGGACAATCATTAATAAACAATACTTGCAATCCATTCCACTGCCCTCGCATGTTGCTAGCGCCATCATATCCTTGGCCTCGTAATTTGTGAACTTGAAGATTGAAATGAGACAGGACATTCATAGTCTCATGCTTAAGTGTTTCAATAGTAGTCTCAGAACCACCTTTAATAGCAAAAAACGCTCAGTTAAAATACCTGTAGCGCTCACGAATCTCAAGATAATTGCCATTTGTTCTCGTTCTGACTCATCTTTTGCTTCATCAACAAGGATAGAAAAGCAAGAATCTCCAATTTCCTCTCGAGTCAACCAACGAACTCTGTTACCCATTAGTGATAAATTTTTTTTTGGATGTCCACAGAAGTGTATTTGGCATTTTTTGGTGCATTATTCAATACAACATCTTTCACATCACTATTCCACTTTGGTAATTTATAAGACTTTTCAGACTCATCGTGACCCCTAAATGCACATCCTTGTAACACAAGCCACTGAACAGTCATGATTGTTGTGTTTAACCGTAAGTCCGTAACCGATTTTTTAAAACTTCCTATTTGCTAACTCTCTCAATGACTTTATCAATATGTTGAGACGGTCTCATCAAAGAATCAGCACACGTCACACATTTATTATGAGGAGATGCAGAAGATGTACCAATATGAAGAAGAAATACACACTCCTTACCCTGATGGACTCTCTTCCAATTATCATATCCAGTGCCCACTAATGCATAAGTCTTACATTAATGGACATTATCACAGAAAAGAAAGCACAGAAAACAATATGCCTTGTGTTTAGTAGGAGAGTACTCTAGCCAATTAAACTCATTATACCAACACGACTGAAAATGACGAACTTTATCTTTATATGCGCGACCCTTATATGTCTGAAGTTTTGGTTGATAAGGGTCAGATATCAAATATAGTCGTCTCACTACATCCCTTTTGTCTAAACGCCAATCAGATATTTTTTCCTTTTTCCAGGATCTCCTTCAATCTCCACCGAAGTACAAGAAGACGGGTTTTCAACATTACAAATATTTTGATGCTCATTTTTACGTGGATCTCTTTCAATCTCAACCGCATTAGAAGTAGACATATTTTCAACATCACAAATATTTTGACTCGCGCTAGCACCTTCGCTTTGTACTTTACCTGCGGTTTTAAAGAAAGAACGCACAGTGACTTTGTTTTTCGTCAAAGGTGGCTGTTGAGTAGCCATATTTTCCTCTATCAAATCCAAATAATTAACTTTGATTGTGGTTCTAAATTTGATTGTGGTTCTAAATTATTTTTACATTCAAAAGTTGATTGTCGACCACCCTGTATAATATATATGTAGAGTCATTCTCCTGTCCAGCTGCCAGCAGCCCCTGGTCCGAACATCGTCCGAACACCGCTGTTTGGGGAGGTTCCAGGTGGAATTTTTTCATGAAATATTTTGAGCATGTTCCTCATCAAGTCTAGTTTATCCATACCAAATTTCAGCTTAAAATTAGATCGTGAAGGCAGTCAAACAATTTATTGAAGTTAACTGCGCCAAATTATACGTAGAAAAACGCAGTTAACTTCAAAAAATTATTTTACTGCCTTCCCGATCGATTTTTAAGCTGAAATTTTGTATGGATAAACTAGACTTGATGAGGAACTTGCTCAAAATATTTCATAAAAAATTCCACCGGGAACCGCCCCAAACAGCGGTGTTCGGACGACGTTCGGACAGAAACGTGCTGGACGGCCTGGACCTGAAAATTTCTCTCTATATACTATCATCCGTTCTATAAAAGTTGCAACAGTTTGACTTTCATGTTTGTCAACACGCAAGTTTGACTGTAATTATATTTATTTACGTATTAGTAAACATTAAAATAAGTTAATATATTGGAAATTTACATTAATACAAATTTATTAATATTTTATACATAATATTTTTATTATATATATTATTAGAAAATTGTAGTCAAAGTAAGGTGTGTGAATAGTGCAGAAATTCCAAGGACCCCCAAGCTCTAGTGTAGTTCCGCCCCTGGCAATAATCAATTTTTACAATGCATTAACTTTCTCATTCGTATGGAGATAAGTTTTATTCATATAGTTCATATTATTACGTATTTACCTTATAGAGATAATGAACAAATTAAGGGAGAATTATCAAATACGCCCTCGAATTTTCATAAAAAGTGCAAATAAGCCCTTTTACAGGAGGTTTTGTACGGCTGTCGCCATTTGGCGCGGTTTCCGGTATACTTTTTTGATTAATTTTTTTGAGCATCTTCTTCGTTAAGTCTAGTTTACCCATACCAAATTTCAGCTAAAAATTCCATCGAGAAGACAGTCAAATGATTTTCTGAAATATATTGTGCTGTCTAATTGTGCAGTTATCTTCAAAAATTCATTTGACTGTCTTCCCGATTGAAATATTAGCTGAAACTTGGTATGAAAAAACTCTACTTAATGAAGAAGATACTTAAAAAAATTCATCAAAAAATTCCACCGGAAACAGCCCCAAATAGCGACGGCCGGACAGAGTCTCCTATAAAAGGGCTTATTTGCATTTGTTTTGAAAGTTTGAGGGCTTATTTGATAGTTCTCCCACAAAATAATGATCACATTTTTGCAGTTAACTCTAGGGTGTCATTACTCATTGATAGTCTTTGTTTTCAAGGTAATTTTTCTAAAACCTCATAACCATAATATTTAGTAGTAAGAAAATGAAATAACGTGAATATTTACCAAATATGAATTACAGCTCCTACAATATCAGTACACAACTCATACCAAAGAAACATTATACTCATTTGTATGAAATTGGCGTTCCATTCTCTTAATTGCCCAACCTTGTTTCCATTCAAATTGTTTTATTTTACGGTGAACCCTCATAGCATATGCAACGCCACTAATAAGAGCCCACTCAAAAGTTGTCCTTTTTGTGTATCTTGCAGAAGTCATCCGTAAAATCTCACTCAAGTTAGTAGTAGTATTTTGTAGAATCACACATCACAGAATATAGTTAAACTTTCATCAAACATGAACTAAACCTAAGTGCCCAACCCCACTAATCAAGGCAATCATGTGTTCCATCAATGTGTGAGCAATTAGCATATTCCTCTGAAGCATAGCTAATAGAGAAACCACAAGCAAGAAATGTTACTAAACACTCATATATATTCACATCTGAATTTTAATGCGACCCAAATTATTTGGCCCTAAAGTTTCCCAATTATTCCAATTATTTATGCTCATGAGTCACAAAGTATAACTGAAATGTACGTTTGACCATGAAAACAACATTAAACCAAAGTACTTAACAAGATAATACAAATGCATCATCCAACAATTGAAAGATAAGAGTTTGTAAGGAATTGGTGGTTATGACTCCACCACTATTACTCAACTAACAATTCAAGGAAATCAGTGTTATAGCCCTGTAGCATGGTGTCAATAGTAGGCTCCCCAGCTTCAAACCAAACCCAACCACATGCAGGAAACTCATGGAAGAACCTAGAAACCAAAAGCTTCCTCTTCTGAAAATCATTAAGAAATCCCAAACAAGTAAATCATCACTGCCGGTAAACATGAATATGTAAAGGCTATACTTTAAGTTATTAATTCTTAATAATAGATCATATTCATTGTAGTTCTTGACAAGGACTGGGGGCTTGCGATAAAAAATTTAAAAATCAGGGCAATATGTACAATTGAGTTGTCACCTGGACTCGGTGTGGTGAAAGAATTGTCTCTTCTGTAGAAGTGTGCTCTCAGGTATCTATCATACAAAAATGAACTGTTCAATGCAAGGTATATCAAAACACCATTCAATCATGGCAAAGAAGGTTTTATGCAAAGCAGTTACCAGCTCTAGTAGATAAAAACACTATTCAAAACCATTTTCTCATTTTCCAATATGTTGCTCAAGCAAGATATAATAACAATGAAGTTTGTATGATATAAATTGTATTGATCCAGAAATGATCCTCACACTGCTCAGGCCTAAATATCATTCAATTTCCAGCATACTTGTGGCCACCAGTATGTGAGCATAGGCTAATCAAAACTTTAGCTCTAACTCTCTAAGAGCATGTGACTCCACCTCCTCCAGTCGTTTGTATACCTGTTAACTGTAGGCGGGCCTCCAATAACTGGACTGCCGATCCCATTTACCATTACAACATACAAAAGTATATCAAACCCAAAGAGATTCTGGAGTTCCATGGATTATACATTGTCTTTCACAAGTATCTCCTCAACAAATTTATCCAGACCAAAATGAGTCAATCTCCTGCAATATTAAATAATAAACTCTTGAGGTTAGTTGGATATGAAGTATTAGATAATACGGAGTAGCATCGAAATGCTAGTTTGCTAGGAGGAAAACTATTTTGGAATGGCAGTGTGTTGATCTAGGGTATGGGATCCAGGGTTCCTTACTTCCTTAATATCTTAATGCTAGTCTCATTCAAAACCGTATAACCTTTTTGAAAGAAATAAAATGCATCATTTAATCATATCAATGATAAAAAAAACTATATTTAGTTTTATTAAATAAATTATTTAGAAGTAAAATCAGTTAAATGAAATTAAGGCCAACCAATTTAACAAACAAATTAGATCAACAATTAAGGCAGTATGTAGTAAAAGTATTTTAGATATGTTGGATTTTTTAGGAGGTATACAAACACACTCCGTATAAAAGTACATGGAAGCTTACCTAGCGGACCGGCCAGCTAAATCCCAAGGGATAAGGTTTGCAGATGCGAAGAGGCGTCGAAGATCGAAACGAAGGAGATGATTGGGTGGCAAATCATACATAAGAGTGGGAAAATGGGAATGAAAGAAGAGAAACGATGATGGTAGTGAAAACTACGAGTACTTTTCGGATGACAAATACGGAGTATCAACTTGTTTTAGGATCACTTTGCAATTATTTTTTTAATCTGACATGGAACTGATATCAAATAAGGTTACGCCATTTGTTGAATGCACCAAAACATGCTCCAAAGTGAAGGTACCGGAGAGCTACCCTAATATGATTCCTTCTTAAATAAGCAATACAGAAGCGTTTTTTACTGTTAATCCATTTTCCTGGCAAATGCTTTATATAGGGTCAGGTGAATTTTCCTGTAAAAACCACTTCACTTGAAAATAAGCCAGCCCAGGCGCTCGCTCTCATAGCCAACAAAGATGTCAAATGACAGGTGGTGTAGTATTTTGTGGAAGAACAACTGTTTGCACCTCTTTGGAACGGGTAGTTTCCATGAAAGACAACAATTTCCCTAGCATTTCTCTTAGCAAGGGAGAGACCACATCGGAGTGAGTCAAGACATCAAGTGATTTAATAACGCCTTTACTAATAAGCGCATGGATAGCACTTAACACCCCTTTGATTATCATATCTTTCCTCTCTACATCATAATTGTCAATCAAAATCAAGAGAAACTCAAGAAGAGTATTGGTGATATCACTATACTTTGGAATAGAGTTAATCATCAACAAAATTGCTGGCTCGACACACATCACGTCATCCTCATCAAAAAACAGCCAATCGTAAAACAACCCAAGCTTTAAGTTTGCTTGGACACAGCCTTTCCTGCAAGACATCAACAGCCAACCAATCACAGCCCATCTCGGCATCACATCCGCAACATGACTATCTTCGCTTGAAGAACGGCATGTGCAACAGATAAACCTCACAATGTCTACCAAAAGAGTCTCCCTGTCAGGCGAAGAAAGAAACTTTTTAGCAAACCAGACCTGATACCTCCTTTGGTTGCCAAGCTTCACTTTTGTGAGCAAAAATCTCAAGTTTCTTTCCATCTCGGGTGTTATTCTAAGTGAAAAGTACAAACTTGGAGTCCTAAAACCATAAATTTGAGCTATGGACTTGAAATCATTTACTTTAAACTCTCCTGGATTGAACAACAAGTCTTTCCATATGGACTTGAACTCAGCTATGTGGACCAAATCTTGTAAAAGCCTCACAAGATCCTTCCCTATTCTTAAACACAGACCAAAGTGTTCCCTCAAAACCCTAATACAAAACTCTGTCTCCAATCTCTTTAATGTTTTTAGTCTTGGATCATTAGATAACCTACCATGATCAGCTAATAACCTAAGAAACACATACAACCCATATGTCAAAACCAAGGGATCTTCTTCTACTAAACTCTCCCATTTGTTCAGTAAAATACCAACCATCTCAGAGCACAGCCATAAATTACCCTCACCGAAATCCCCACCAATAATTTGTCGAAGAAGAGACACTAGTAATCCATCAAACCCTATAGCCAACACATCAAACATTTCACGAGCAACCCAAATTAGCTGAATCCTTGCGGAATTAGTAAGTTTGGCATACAATTCATCAATGAATCTGGTAACCATAGAAGTGAAGTAGCTATACCCATCAGTGATGATAGCATGCAAGAGCTTAATGAGGGTTTTCACAGAATGTGGTTGACTCAAAAGGCCGAACAGAATGGCGTCATTGAGACGTGAGTACTGTTTTTGGGAGAGGGATTTCAGAGCAAAGGGAGGTTGTAGATCACCTTCGTGAAGGTTGAAAGCTTCTCTGAGAGAAGCTTCTAGGGGATTCTCTGCGTCATGAGTAGCTCTATGAACCAAGCTCCCTGCCATCACTCAACAGAAGTGAAAATTGTCGTAACCCAAGGCATCTAATTTGGGGGTTCCTTGCATTGCCATATCTGGAATTTACATTGGGGGGATTAGAATGAGTAAAACATAGATTTTTCTGATAACTAAAACATAGGTAATGCAATTAATTCCAGAAGTATTATTTATAATTTTATATTAAAGGTAGTCTTTTTATACGAATAATAATTTTTCATAGCTGAACAATAAAACATACGGAGTATTTCATAAATTCATGTCATTTAATTAATTTAAGAAGAAATAACGAAGACTAAAAATATGTTATTTACAAAAATGTGAATTTGTAAATGTAGTTAGTAATAACTTAAATATACAGAACAGTAATTTATATGACTACAGTAACTAATAGTCATAGTTTGTACATTAGTTTCATTTCAGTCATATATTTGAAAAAATCACATTTGGCATTTTGTATTTCAAATATTCAAGAGTAGGTCACGGCAAAACTGGATATCTCTCTTGTGACCTCCGGAACCTGCGAATCTGCAATTCTAAGAATCCAACGCTGCCACGCCGGAGTCTTGACCGCTTGGATCGGCCGCGATTCCGCGAAGATACCGAAGAGGGAAGAACTGAGAAGAATCTCAGGAGGGCTGACCCAATTAAATTTTTTCTTCACGGGTGTTTTTTTGTCAAAGCCTTAAAATCCGAACAAGTTTAGTTGATATTTTTAGGATTTTTCAATCGGGCTTTATCAAAGAAGCACTCTATCAGATTCATATTACTCGACCCAAATTCTTTTAGGATTAAGGGAGTGTTTGCTAAAAATTAAAAAAATGTTTTTAAGCTTTTAGTTTAAAAAAACTAAAATGAGTGTGATGGTACCATGGATTACAACCATGACCCAAGACTGAATTAAAGTAAAGCCCATCAACGGGATCAACCCATTAACGGGATCAACCCATTTATCGGGGTTAATGATAGATAATAGTCGATGAGCCTAATTAACAAACCAACCCGTGAGAGGAACTCACAACCAGGCCGCCCTGGACAGCAGACCTCGAGCCTGGGTGGAGTTCTAGCGAGGTCGGACTCTTCCTAGGGTTTATGTGGCAGGTTATCATTCGTGCATAACTATGTGACAGTGGCAGGAAATAACGGAAGGAACGTGGACCTGAAGAAAATAATCATTGCAGCACAACGTTCGAGACGTTATGCGGAGATGCAGAAAATGTACCAATAAGAAGACAACCGATTTTTTAAAACATCCTATTTGCTAACTCTCTCGATGACTTTATCAATATGTTGAGACGGTCTCATCAAAGAATCAGCACATGTCACACATTTATTATGAGGAGATGCAGAAGATGTACCAATATGAAGAAGAAATACACACTCCTTACCCTGATGGACTCTCTTCCAATTATCATATCCAGTGCCCACTAATGCATAAGTCTTACATTAATGGACATTATCACAGAAAAGAAAGCACAGAAAACAATATGCCTTGTGTGTAGTAGGAGAGTACTCTAGCCAATTAAACTCATTATACCAACACGACTGAAAATGACGAACTTTATCTTTATATGCGCGACCTTTATATGTCTGAAGTTTTGGTTGATAAGGGTCGGATATCAAATATAGTCGTCTCACTACATCCCTTTTGTCTAAACGCCAATCAGATATTTTTTCCTTTTTCCAGGATCTCTTTCAATCTCCACCGAAGTTCAAGAAGACGGGTTTTCAACATTACAAATATTTCGATGCTCATTTTTACGTGGATCTCTTTCAATCTCAACCGCATTAGAAGTAGACATATTTTCAACATCACAAATATTTTGACTCGCGCTAGCACCTTCGCTTTGTACTTTACCTGCGGTTTTAAAGAAAGAACGCACAGTGACTTTGTTTTTCGTCAAAGGTGGCTGTTGAGTAGCCATATTTTCCTCTATCAAATCCAAATAATTTTAAAAATCATTATAAATTATTTAGATTATATTAAAGTAAAAAAAGCTGGCATATTCATATATTCACATAAATTATATTCCTATAACTGCTTAACAATTTACAAACTCACAATATACACACTAAAACATTATTTAAAAAATGCAAAATATAAAAAATATTAGATGAACACAAAATAAATTCATACAAGGGCCATATTTAATGATACAATGTCAAAATGAAATATATTAAAATTTAAAAATACAATTCCTAAATTAGGACTAGAACAATTACCTCGATTCCTAGAGCAAGGGCAAGATTTCGTCCGCCACTCCGCCTTCGTTGTCCATAGACCGCAGCCGTCGCACAAGCGGCACAGCCGCGCTTCCCAGACGCCCAGTCCTCCCAAGTCGCACCAGTCGGCACTCGGCAGTCCTCGGCAATTGGCACTCACCAAGACGCCCAGTCCGTCAGTCCGCCGGTCGCACAAGCCGTTTTTAATTTGGTCGAAGTGCTCCACGCCTCCAATCTTCCGTCTACCGTACTTTGTTTTCGTAGAGATTGGGCGGCCCGGCTGCTTAAGCGTACAAAGGGGGAAGGGGCATAATATTATACTTATGTTTATTTATACTGGGCCAGGCCAATTTTTTTTAAGTATCCTATATACTATTAGGCCAACTGACCCTGGGCCACGGTCCAGTAAGCCCCCCCCCCCCCCCCCCCCCTCCTACGCCCCTGGTTATATTTATTATTGTGTATTGTCATATTTATAGTGATGCTATTATAATTTTTGAAGTGAATTTGAAATTAGGAATTGTGCACAACGTAATTTTTGTAGTGCACTAAATGTTATTGGTTTGCAAGAAATTCCACAATTTAGTTAAACAACAACACTGGAGAGTATTATTAAATGAATATATTTATTTATATTTAAAATTTCATTTTCTAGAATGCACTTTTAATGATCTATTTCAAAAGTAAATACTTCCTTCGTCTCGAAAAGGTTAGCCAAAGTTGACTTTCACGTAGTTTAATAAATTAAAAACTATGTTGTTGAAATTTGAGCATAGAAGAGAGATAATTTTACCCACATATTCCTTGCTTTAAATGGAAATGACAAATCTTTTTGAGATATCCAAAAAAAGAAATTTGACCAACCTTTTCAAGTTAGAGGGAGTATTTTCTAATTTATTTCTAAGTTTTGTCGTTACATTTGTGAAAGATTTATTTGAATTTTATTATGCACCACTAATGTTTGTAGTTTTGTATAGTTAAGAGGAAAGAAGATGAATCACGGTGCTGAAATCCATTCATGAAATAATAATTAAAGTAGCAAAAACTTTGGGATAGAAGTTATGGAAAGAATCGTTTCTCATTAATAGAGTAAGTATGTCTCTAATTTGCCCTCAACTGAAAGAGAAACGGAAGATTAAAAAATCAAATCGAAGGGATGTAATTCATTCTCATTTCTCTCTTAAGATGTGTTTATCACTTGATCCTACACACACACACACACACATATATATATATAAGGTCAGGTGAGAAGTCCCTCTTAAAATGAGAAGTGAGAAGCAATCTCAGCTTTTGGATTTGCATCTAATCTTACAAGCAATTCATTTGAATGTCTTCTAGATTTAATTGTTAGCTGACATTTGGTGTGAATAAACTAGACTTGACGATGAACATGATCAAAAAGTTTCATCGAAAAATTCCACCAAAAAAGGCTCCAAATGGCCTCATCCTGACGGCGGTTCCCGTCAAGCCGGCCTGATATGATCTGTCCTATATATATATATATATATATATATATATATGTATTACATCCATTTTAGTTTACCGTGAATTTTGATCTATTTCATCCATTTTTAAATAATCAAGGACTTAGATCACTTCTCACTTTTCATGGGAAGACTTCTTTGTATTAGAACTCACTCATATATATATATATATATATATATATATATATATATATATATATATATATATATATATATATATATATATATATATATTGAAGTTCAAAGTCTTACATATTATTGAGTTTGTAGGTTAATATTTTAAACATGTTTTGTATTTGATCTTGTGTGTGGAGTCCGGTTCCAATAAAAAGTTGTTTTCCAATGAAAAATGTGAACGTCTTCATTTTTTGTCCACTTAAATGCACATGTGCACATTTCATTCAATTATGTGTGTGTGTATGGAATTTCTATTAAAATCCAAATAGAAATCTATATGGACTCAAATGAAGTGAAATTTTGTTGTCATAATTAATGAAGTATTATATATTTACTCAATAATTATAACAATAAATGATTAATTACAAGTCAATTCGTAGTTGTAAATTACAAATAAAACATTATAAAAGTGATGATAAAGACAATAAATATAAATAAAAAATTTAGAAAAACATTAGAAACATAAACATGCATAATTAATTGAGAAACAACATATTAAAGTTAGAAAAATGAAGTGTTCTAATTTTAAAATATAAAAATAGAGCCCCACATTATGATCATGTGTGATGAATCCACGGCAATAGAATTTTATAAATTATATAGTATAATGATAATATTTCCTCCCTAAAAGTTGCACAGATTTGACTTACGCAAAGTATCCAAAATAATAAAGTAAAAATTGTGTTGTTGAGATTTCTGCATAGAAGAAAAAAATAACTACATATTATTACTTCAATGGAAATGGTAATTTTTGGAATGACTAAAACAGAAAGTTAACAAAGTTTTATAGGACATGGAGTATTATTATTGACAATCATCTGCAAACTAAAATAAAAAGAATGTATTTATTAAATCCTACTATATATGTCCTTTATAAATAAGTACCTTGTGTTTTTTTTCAAAATCAATCATTACTAGATCCATAAAAATGAACTTATGATTAGACATTAATTGTATGATAACAAACAACAATCTTTATAAGAATATAATACATTTAAAAGAATTTTAAGTGAGGGTACCGTCTACTATGCATAAGAATATTGGTACATATCATTATTCTCAATTTAATTTTTTAAGTAGCTAATTGTTTACTACTTCTAATTGGTCTAACTTGACGAGGTATAGTGTTTTGGAGGTACCGTAGATTTTAACCTGTGAAAATGAAAATATTTGAAGTATCTATATTCTTAGAACATCATTGTGCAAAATTTTGATACTGTAATTATTAAGAATATTTTAAAGTAAAAACATTATACAACCCACATACATACATAAGTGGAAATGAAAAAATATAGATTCACAACTTCTTATTTCTGAAGCAACTATTTGTATGGAAAGTAATGTGATTAATGTATACAGAGTATTGATTTTATAAGTAATTATATTTATCTATATACCTTTAACTCCTCGATTTATAAGTAATTATATTTATCTATATACCTTTAATCTTTATGGTACATATATTGTGAGATGAGACGTATTTAGAATCTTTAGAGCACAACTAACATCAAGCTTAGACATGTTTCATAATCTATAAAATGTGAAATGTTTTTCATAATAATTATGTATACTTAATACCCTAGAGATGGTATTATGTGATGTATATAATAACTATCATAGTTATCACTAAATAATATGAGATTGTAATATATAATAATTTCTAATTGGATGGAAAAAGTATTTACTTGGTAACCTTAATATTAATTAGTATATCTCTAATATGTATCATACATGTATTCCAATACAATTTTATATCATGATTTAGTTTTTATACAATAAGTATGTATATGCACATGCACATGCACATTACTCATAAAATGAAATTATTTTCAAAAAAAAATATTTCATCTATTATCCGTGTAACGCACTGGTCGATTGGCTAGTGTGTGTGTGTGTGTGTGTGTAATTAGATAATGCTCTTTTAATTTGTTTACACTCTCTCCCATTGCAGCTAATGACAATATGAAGTTTCTGCTCAAGTGGTTTGCCAATTTTCCACAATACAGAAAACTAGATTTTTACATTGCTGGGGATGCTTTTGGAGGTTAGCATCCGTCGTAATATCGAATATATACTACATCTGTCAATCTCTAATGCAGGTTGGCCCTGTTATAAAGTTGGGAAATTTCTCGTGTTATGACTAAAACATATTAAAATTCCCTAAATATGAATAACTTTGCTTTTAGACATTCATCCTATATACTTAATAGGAATACAAATGCATCTGCACCCTTCATTTTGAAATGATCTGCACCGTTCATATTTCTTTTCACTCCGTTTCTTTTCTAATCAACCGACCCACTCTTTTCATTTTTTCTCTTCCTGCTCTTATCACTGATCCCTATTATTTTCTCCACCATTCTCTTATCTCTTATCTCCAAATTCCTTCATTTCAATGGAGCAAATGAATAAAACTTTCCCTTTTTTAGGAAGAAGGAGGTCTGCCAATAGAGAGAATTCTTTGCCGGATGAAAGAATTCTGCCAATAGATCCGCCTGCTCCATAAGAAATCGTAAATTGATTTCTGTCGGAAGAAAGATTACTTGCCGGAAGAAAGTCCATATAAAATGCTCCATGTCCGCAGGTTTTTATTCGAATTTAGTTAATTTCAAATCAACTTTCTTTAATTTCAAATCAACTTGATTTGTAATTTCTTCTCAAATTCTTTTTTACTCTTTTTGACGGTAAGTGTTTCTAGCATTTACTGAGTTCTAAAACGACCCTAAGTGTTTCTATTCTTTTTGACAACTATTCTTGATCATTCCTACAATTCTGTGGAAATTCTAGATGGATTTCTTCTCAAATTCTGTTTTTTACAAAAATTCCTTGCGGGAGGAAAGATTACTGTCACGACACCCTGAAACATCCGCAATTTTTTATACTTATTTAGTTAAATTTCGAATCCAATTTAATTAGTTTCAAATCAATTTCAATGGTAATTTCTTCAGAGCTTCTGTTTTTTTGACAATGTATTACCTTCTTTCTAAGTCCAGAACAAATTTCCCCCACATGTGAATAGATAAATTCAACCACCTTCAGAAATGATTTTTTTAATTGATTTTTAACATTTTTATGTTTTAGTAATATTCTACTAAAATTATGCTAATTTAGATATTTTCATACATATATAATAGGATGAGCTATATTAGATATTTTTATGTATTAGAGTCCCTCAACGTAAGCTTTTCCTATATAATAGGATGAGCTGCTTAACGTAAGTTTTATATATTTTTATTTATCTAAAAATTTCCCATTATTCTCCCCACACTGATTTTATAAATTTATATTCTTCTAAACTTAAAAGGAGACCTCCATACTTATCTCTCTCTAAAAAATTATCTCTTTTTAGGGAGGAGTATTTCTCTTTTAAATAATTCCATCCCTATTTAGCATTCAATTAATGATTAGAGTCCCTCAACGTAAGCTATTCCTAAATAATAGGATGTGCAGCTTATCTCTCTTTCGATACTTCTCTCTCTGCTAACTGATTTTTTATTTACTCGAAGTGTCCTACACCAACTCTACGTCTATAGTTTTCCCATAGCTATATATAATACCCCTTACTCTAAATTCATTATGTGAGACCCCTTTAGTTCCCATACCCCTTTAGTTCACAAAACAATGCCTCCCGTTAAAAAGATTTTATCTAACGTGACACTTCAACTCCAACGTCATGAAGCCTTTTTATTACGTGTTGTTCGTAAGTGGATGGTGCCATATGATGATGCACAAAGGGGCAATAAATCCATGGAATTGGTTTTAGTTGATGAGAAGGTAACAAATCCATGGAACTGGTTTTAGTTGATGGGAACTAAACCATTGAAAAATGTAAAAGTGCTGAAATATGTTTTAGTGACTTTTATTCATAGTATCTGTGTTGAATTGATTATATGCTTTTGGTTTATTTGTGATTCTATTCGTAATAAATAGCATATGGTTTTACTTGATGAGAATGTAAAAAATCCATGGAATTTATTTTAGTTGATGGGAACTAAACCATTGAAAAATTTAAAAGTGCTGAAATATGTTTTAGTGACTTTTATTCATAGTATCTGTGTTGAATTGATTATATGCTTTTGGTTTATTTGTGATGCTATTCGTAATGAATAGCATATGGTTTTACTTGATGAGAATGTAAAAAATCCATGGAATTTGTTTTAGTTGATGTGAACTAAACCATTGAGAAATTTAAAAGTGCTGAAATATGTTTAGTCACTTTTATTCATAGTATTTGTGCTGCATTGCTAACATGGTTTTGGTTTATCTGTGATGCTATTCGTAATGAATATGTCTGTAATGGATACTATCTGTAATGAATATTAATATATGAATGGCTTTAATGAACATATATTTTTCACAGTTCAGAATTTAATTATCCAGTATAATGATCTTAATTTAACACCTAGCTGTGAGTCTGTGACCATCAAGCTGATATGTTAATTAAAGAACAAATCTTTAATCAAACTGATTTGTTCATCTGCTTTGTGAAAATGACAAACCATACTATTCGATGAAATGTGCTAAGTTTCTTCCATTGGATTCAATCATTAAAACTTCTAAGAAATCTAAGTATCTTATCCTACACATCTTTTATAGATATTTTTATCCAAATGATAATTATTCTTAATGATCCTTGGAATCTTTTTATAGGAAGTTCGCATTCAAGCATCTATATCCCGTACGGAAATTCAACTATTTGAAAGCCAGTTGGAAGAAGGTGGGTTGTATGACATGTGTAATTTCACTGTCAAGGCGAATAATGGAAAGTGGAGACCGGCATCACACCCTTTCAGGTTACAATTCCATGAAGGAACTAAGGTTAAGTGTCAGGAATTAAAAGACCATAAGGACTTTCCCCTACACATTTATAATTTTACTTCTTTCAACGATATTCACAACTGCCCTGATGGAAAAAGTACTACAGATCTCATTGGTAAGAGTTTAGTAATATAATAATACTTATATGTAGAACTTTATAATAAACACAAATCATATAACTGCATCTATATATGGTCACCTAAATGAGTTTCTATTTCTTATTTTTAGATGTAATTGGTGTGTACAATCCCCTAGACAAATTCAGTAAGCATTATACCGATTCAGGATCAACATACACTAACTTTTATATTCGGGACATCGAGTTAAGTATATCAAATTGGCCCCGTTTCCAATTGTATGTTATTAAGATTATCTATATTTATCTTTCATTCTCATTCTTACGCTTATCTTCTTTCTTTATAGGAATAAAAGTCTCTTTTGTACTTTATGGAATGTGTATGTGGACCAGTTTGAGACGTATTTATCTCAACCGGGAACAAATCCAGTTGTTAACCATAACAATAATTCTGCAAATTTGGTTTTCTGGGATGCTGTGAGCAATCGTTTGATTGGAAAATCTGCTGGAGATTTCCCCAGTCACTATTATGACATGGTAATGCTACCTCACAATATACTTAATTTGCACAATTTTTTATCATTACAAATGCAAATCCATTTGATTTGATTTTAAATTTAGTAATATGAATAAATCCGACTTCAATATGTGCAATTACTCTGCATGTGTAGGAGAGGCTATCACCTTCAGGCTGCCCAGATGAAATAAAAGATTTGGTAGGTCGTGAGTTTGTCTTTAAAGTTGACCGTCAATCTGGCTCCCCTTTAAACGGAAAGAGTTATTCAATTGGTATGGTCTCAACCGATCAAGATAAAATTGAGGAGCTTAAGTCTGTTGGAGCCAATCAGTCTGGGAGACAGGTACAATTCTCTGTAATTTTACACTGACCATGGTACACAAGATATGCACTTACATGAATTTATAATCCTATTAAATTCATTTAGGTATTCAATTATTATTGGAAAAATGATTTAGTGTAGAGATAAACTTTACTTGGGTCATTGTGAAAAATATCACACGTTTTTCTTCAATCAAAATTTACAAGAATCAGTAAGTTCTTCACTTGATTATATTATATTATTCCTTTCGTTTTCCATGTTCACTACTCTTCTAAGAACTTGCTCATTTTTATAATAACTTTTTAATTTTAGACATTAAAATTTTATATGCTATACCATATATGTATTTAATTTCACTTTTGGTTTGTTCATAGCAACTTTGGTCTGTTCCCAGCCAAACGCAGGTTCATATAAAATTTATCCACCTCCAGTTTAGAGGTAGTCTTCTTAAGTACAACTTTTGAAACTTCAGGCAAATTCTTTCACCTATTTTTCGAATTTAATCCCAATTAGTCCTAAAGTAATCAATTTGATGATTCTGGATACACACATTCATCAAAAGTTTTGGTGTTTACCTATCACTTTTGAGAATGGCAGTAATACAATATGTAGGTGAAAGTGGTAACTAATACAGCAATATTTTAGATATCATTTTACCTAAGGCGAAAGTCTTCTATGTCTGGGACATGTGCATCAAGAAGAAGTTTTGTCACATGGTAAGATGTAGCTACACCGTTTGAGGAACATCTGCCTAAAACAGCCATATATTTGCATATGCATTCAACACAACCAAGCTTTTAGGAAATGAACTCCCCAGAAGGAAAAGTTCTATTTTGATTATTTCCATGTAACTAAATCAAACTTTTGAAATTGCACTTTTGAAATTTAAAAAAATGTGTACCTTTCCCAATTAGTTATGTAACCAGATACTGAATAAGTATCAAATGTCATACTCACATGTTAGATTGAATAAATATTCTTAGCAAAGAAGCCTGAAAGGCTGATTGTTATTTCTATAATAATTTAATAAACGTATTCTGAAGCAGGACTATTCAACGCTCATATAATTTAATGAGTGTACTGTGATGAGGATCTTAATGAGGTCTCCTTTTAAATGTTCAGGACTATAACTCCGATGAGGATCCTGATTTACTTTTTTCTTCTCCAGTCATAGTTGAATCTAATATAGTAAGTACTTACTGTTTATTTATCCATCCGAATATGTTTGACTCTTCACCCCTAATTGACAAATGTTTGCATGTAGACACCATCTTCAACTGAAGACGACATCATAATACAAACCATCCCCTCTTCAACATTAAAGAGGCCTTCAAACGCTGAGCAACATGTTGACTCTTCTACGCAGAGTTCAACAAATAAGAAACTCAAGGGAATCAAGATTGAAAAGCCGGATGCTTGAGCATTATCTTTTCGTTTACTTTGTTCTTTTACTTTTCGGAATTAATGTTATTTATCCTGTTTATTTGTGTTTTAGTAAGTTAGCTTCTGTTTCAGACACTAGATACAGTTCCTTTTATGAACGAATAATATTCATTTGCAATTTCTAAATGCAAATGATGAATCAATATGCCAAGCTCGACTGGAATAAATCTTTTCACTTCTATATACTTCGTATTATTTTTAGGCATCGTTGCTGGATTTTGATTACTCGAATTTCGTACTATGAACTATAAGTTATATCTCATGTATAAATTATACTCCGTATTGTTCTACTCTTATTGAAATTGCTTTATATTTATATCATGTTAGATTCTGTAGATAATGTTTATTGACTATTGAGTATTGTTTTAAACAAAAGAGACAATGTCATTGGCCAACTTTTGTTATATATTTATTTGAACAGCTGAGCTTTAAATCCACTGTGTAGATCTGTACATCTCCAACAGAGGAAATGAATTTACAAGGCAATTGTTATGGACTCACTTCTTAAGGAGTTAAGGGATGTTCAATGACATACATACTAACATACTTATTGTGTAACCAAGAAGAAAATAATCTTTCTGTGATAATGTTTCCTGGTGAAGAGTCCAGGATTGGAGGAAGTCCAATTGGACTGAGCAAAGAATCACACGTATGGAGTTATTAAATAAACTCCATTGAGTATTTGGATAACTATGATCTTCAATTGATAATATTTATCCATATTGCTTAGAAGATTGTATTTCACTACAACTACACTACTATTATTGAAAGATAACGTTGAATGAGAAGAGGAATCTACTATAATTCTATCACACTCCTATATACCTAATATCATGTTATATATTCTTAACAACCACAACACATATAAATTAAAGTTATGTTTCTTTCAAACTGCTTTGCTATCAACTTTTGTTAACAAAGAGATATTGTGAAGGCTTGCTCCTGCAGTATAATACTTCACGTATAGTCAGGAATTACTAAATGACCAACCTTCCTCCCTTGCGGTAATAATATGTCAAGTGTCATTTTTGTTCCTATGCTACAAGGCTTATACTTTGGCTCCGCCATCTTCACTCCAATCATTCAGAACTTTTATATTACAAGGTTAGTTATACTGTCTTGGTTTGTATAGAATTTAGTTTTTTTAAATACCATCGTTGATAAACCAGAAGTTATGTTTTTATAAACGAAATTGAACTTCTATACAAAATCTCACAAAACAATTTTTATTATAATAAAAACAACACTTATTTAAAAGTGTGACATTAGATATAAAAAAAACTCTTATTCGAGTTGGCCTCATATTCAACTAAATGTGGTAGTTATCTATTCTGTTAAATTTGTATCCTTAATCTAACTGTATCTATAATATTAGTATTTATATATATTTGAGGTATAATTAAGCCTCAAAGTTCCTTATAAAAACTCGGACTTATTAGACATTTCTGTTATTTTCAGAAAATTGTGAATAGAATTATAATAACCTTTTATTATTCAAGTATTAGTTGTACGAATCACGGGAATCTGCATACCATTACACTTTAATAAGATCTCATTTGATAAATCAATCCAATATATTTAGGTTTTCCATTTCAAGTACCAATAAATTTACACAATAGATCACGCATAAAATCATTTAGTAATACGTAGTATAAAATTTATAAAATGATTTTCTTAGTAATCCTTGGTATAGTAGACTTATTTTTAATTACAATAAAGGTTACAAGTATCATTACATTTCAGACTCTTCGTATGTTTTCTTACTATCACTATATTTGCATTTATGTACTTGCATTAGGCTTTAGATGCAGAAAGGCACGGAGTTAATAAATGTCAATGGAAAACGACCACTTGTGAGTGACCAGTCAACATATGAGGAAGATGTAGCTGGGTCTAGCAATTTTTACACTCTTGATTGTGGCATAAACCTAGATAATGAAGGTAAGATATTTGATTAAATAATTTGACATTAATGATAAATTGTTAAATGTCTATAGTTTATTCTGAGAGAGTATACTTCTTTTATTGGAGAGAAAATTGTAAAAGAAAATATTATACCTCAATAATTAAGTATCTTCTAATATTTCAATAAATCTAAAATTCAAGTTTTTAAATAAAGTATGGTAAAGTGGTAAACTAATACTACCTCTGTCTAAATGGACTTTGCACTCTTTGAATTACAAGAGAAATCACAATAATAAAAATTGTGGATGCATTTTGTGCTGATAGATAAATGAGCAGAAAAATAAATTCTTTACTTTAATCGGAAAGTGACAAAGTTTTTTGGGACAACAAAAAAATGAAAGTTGGGAAAGGCCAATGAGACGGAGGGAGTACCATATACTCCGTACATTATATATGCACTAAAGTATTTTCGTATTATACTATACTTGCTCCGTTTCTTAAAAGTTACAACAATAGGATTTTTTCACTATTCACACAGATTACTTTGACTATGATTTTCTACAAATATTTATAATCAAATTATTATGTATAAAATGTTTATAAATTTCTGTTCATGTAAATTTTCAAAATATTAACATTTTATAATTTTTATTATTACTTAATGATTATATAACTACAGTCAAAGTTGTTTGTTGGCAAACGTGAAAGTCAAGGTATTGCAACTATTTAAGAACGAAGGATAGTATTATATTGACAAACAATCAAATTTAATATTAATTCACACCTACATCTAAAATCTTAAACACAGTAAATGTGTACATATAATTTGTCATTTTTTCAGAGTTTGAAGATGAAGAAATGTTTGATGACTCAATTGATGTTGACTTGGGTGAATTTGAAAATAATGGTACGTAACAGTAAATTTTCACACACTGAACATATATGTTATTGCGGTGTGAAATGTGTTCGTATCCTAAATTGTTGGTTTGTGATATTTTTAATTTTTAATTATTCAATTTTGAACAGATGACAATGCTGAATACTTGTGTTTTCAAACACAAGGTACTTACCCCTACAACTATTTTTAACTCTATTTTTAATCACATTTTGATAGTTGAGAAACATCTTTATTTTTTATATATATTCAACATGAATAATTTTTGTAGCATATGTTGATCTTGGAGATGCTACTCATGAGTGCGAGTATTGTGGAGCCTTATTCTGGTATGCAGAAAGGGTAAAGAGACATTCTGTCAAGCAACACCCAAAGTTTTCAATGTGTTGCAATCAAGGAAATGTTGTTCTCCCTAACATGCAGCAGCCCCCTAAAATTTTAAATGACCTGATTTTTCGCTCTGAGCATCGAAGTAAGCACTTTCTGGATAACATTCGTTCTTACAATTCTATGTTTTCGTTCACTTCAATGGGTGGGAGAACGGATAGAGATATAAATAGGGGTGGAACACCTCCAATATTCAGATTGAATGGTCAAAATTACCACAAGATCGGTAGTCTTATACCAAATGAAGGACAACGTCCCAAATTCTTACAGATGTATTTGACTGATCCAGAAGAAGAGGTTGCATCTAGAATCTCATCTGTGAGGTTAGTTAATCATTATACATTTTTTTGAAAGTTACTCTTTTTTTATTTAAACTAAAACTATACTACCTTCAATATATGAATTGTTTTCTATATTAAAATTTCAATTTCAGTATTAACAATTTCGGCTATATGCATTTTAGGACCTCCGGTGGAACCGCATTACATGATACATTAGTATCCGATTTGCGAGATATGTTGGATGCGTACAATGTTCACGCACAGTCATTTAGGATGGTCCATGATAGGTTTAATGAGACTAACTCTATCTCTTTGAAGATGAAGCTTATTGGTAAAAAGAATTCGGATGGACGTACTTACAATACCCCTACCGCTCGTGAGGTAGCCGCACTTATAGAGGGGGACTTTAGTTTGAATCGAAAAGAGAGAGATGTTGTTCTTCAGAAGAAATCCGGAAAGTTTCAAATTATATCGGAACTGAATCCTTCTTTTCTAGGATTACAATATCTGTTACTCTTCCCCTATGGTCAAGATGGTTTTAGAGAGGATGTTAACCTGACACGTGCATCTCAAGCTACCACAAGAGGAAGAAAACATGTTACAATGAAAGAGTTCTTCTCATACAGGTTGCAAGAAAGGAAGAGTGAGTCCCCTTACATATTGAGATCGAAGAGATTATTCCAGCAATTTATTGTTGATGGATATACCATGATTGAGTCATGTCGCTTGGCATATATTAGACTACATCAAAAGGACTTGCGAAGTGAACTATATACGGGACTGGCTGATGCTGTCGGTCGTGGTGAAACTGACGGATCCAGATTGGGACAACTCATTGTACTTCCTAACTCATTCACGGGAAGTGCACGTTACATGATTCAAAACTACCAGGATGCGATGAGCATCTGCAGGTGGACTGGATACCCACAACTCTTCATCATGTTTACATGTAACCCAAAGTGGCCTGAGATTGTTCGCTACATCGAGTGTAGAGGACTTGCTCCGGATGATCGTCCAGATATCATTTGTAGAATCTTCAAGATCAAACTTGAAATGCTCATAAAAGACTTGAAAGAAAATAGATTATTCGGTGAAGTTAAAGCAGGTATGAGCTGATTCTATTTATTAGTTAGTGAAGTTTTATTTAATTACATTACTATTAATACTTTTCTTCAAGATAAACAACTATAATTTCATCCAGACAAAATAACACATAAATAATTCTATCCTATGTAGTTGTATACACTGTGGAGTTTCAGAAACGTGGATTGCCACATGCTCATATTGTGTTATGGTTGACGCGAAAGGACACGACTATATTGGCATCAGACATTGACAGCATCATCTCAGCTGAAATTCCGGATGAGAAAAATGACCATGATTATTATGTTGCTGTCAAAGAGTTAATGGTGCACGGGCCTTGTGGGGTTCTGAACAAATCTTCGCCGTGTATGGAGAATGGTCACTGCACGAAACACTTTCCGAAGAAATTTGTGAGACGTACTACAATTGATGGAAGTGGATTTCCCATTTACAGAAGAAGAGACAATGGAAGGAGTGTAATGAAGAATGAGACTCTTCTTGACAATAGATTTGTAATCCCTCATAACCGTACATTACTGCTCAAATATGGGGCTCACATTAATGTTGAGTGGTGTAATCAAACCCGCGCAGTGAAATACCTCTTCAAGTACATTAATAAGGGTAATGATCGGATCACAGTAGCATTCTCTGAGGCATCCGACAATCGTAAGGCAGAAAAGGTTGATGAGATCAAAATGTATTACGATTGTAGATATATCTCTGCATGTGAAGCGGCTTGGAGAATCTTTGGATTCCACATTCATTATAGGGACGTCGCAGTTGAACGTCTAAGCTTTCATCTCCCTGGGCAACATAGTGTGTACTATAATCCTAAAGAGTCTGTCAGTTCTGTTCTTAGACGTCCTACTATCCACACTACTAAGTTTCTAGCTTGGATGCATGCAAACAGTGTGTATCCTCAAGCTAGGAGCTTGACTTATGCTGAATTTCCTACCAAGTTCACGTGGAAAACCAAAACAAGAGAGTGGGTACCAAGACAAAGAAGCACCGCAATCGGAAGACTATACTTCATGCGACCTGGAGCCGGAGAGAAATATTATTTAAGGATGCTCCTTGGTGTCGTGAAGGGGGCCAGGAGTTTTGAAGAACTCAGAACAGTTGATGGAGTCATACACTCGACGTTCAGAGAAGCTTGCTCTGCACGTAGTATGTTAAATGACGATAAAGACTATATAGATGGACTTATAGAACAAAGTCATTGGGCAACAACGCATGAACTTCACGTCACATTTGTTCATCTTTTACTACAAGAGTCATTATCTATGCCCAGTATGGTTTGGGAGAAGTGTTGGCCATATCTATCTGATGATATACTCTACACTATTAGGAAGAATCTCCATGATCAAGGTATGTTTATTATTTAATGGCATTCCTAAAATTTAGATAAATTTAATAAATGCCAATATTAAGAGTGATGTAGATTTACAATATGCAAGATATTTTGAAATTAAAAATTACCTTTTCATATATATATATATTATAGTTAACGATCATTATTCACTAATATCAAAAAATTGAAACTTTTTATTGTAATAAATTGCATATTGATCTCAGGGTAAAATTTACTCTTATGTCATAGATAATTTTTAAATATGAAGTACTTCTCTTAAAAAGTGTTCAAAAATAGTTCAATATATATAATTTAATAAACTATTTTTTAGATAGTAGTTGGTTTAATAATTTGTTTCCACAACATCATATTTAAAGATGTGTTGTTTGTTTATGATACACACAAATTTAATTATTTAAGCATTTAGAAATTTAAAAAATATTCTAATTACTTCTTAAATTTATTAATATTAAAATTGCACTAACCATTATGTTTTTTACAGAACTGCGGCTTGATGAGAAGCAAATAAAGAATTATTGTTTGTTGGAAGTTGAAAAACTTCTACAACATCGTGGAAAGTCTCTATTCTACTATGACGGAATGCCTCGAGTGACGGATCTTGACATTCCCTCTCTGGATGATGTTTTGATACACGAGGAATTGAGATATGACAGATTTGCTTTGGCGGAGGAACATGCTAAATTAATTTCCGCCTTGACGGAGGATCAAAGGCGTGTTTATGAGACAATAGTGAGTTCTGTAGAGGCCAACCGTGGCGGTGTGTTCTTCTTATATGGGCACAGCGGTACAGGGAAAACATATCTGTGGAAGACCTTATCAGCATATATAAGGCATCAAGGAAATATTGTGTTGAACGTAGCTTCAAGTGCGATCGCATCATTGCTCCTTCCAGGTGGAAGAACGGCACATTCCAGGTTCGCTTTTTTGGTTTAAAACTTATAATTCCAAATAAATACTAACAAAATGAATTGTAACTTCTAGGTTTAAAATCCCACTCACAGCAGCAGAAGATTCAACTTGCAACATAAAGCCAGGAAGTGCACTTGCGAAGCTAATTCAAATGACGAAATTGATTATTTGGGACGAGGCACCCATGATTAATAAGTACTGCTATGAAGCTCTTGATCGAACCATGCGGGATATTCTTCGACATTCATACGGTTGTGATGGGAGCAAACCTTTTGGTGGAAAGACAATTGTCTTTGGCGGAGACTTTAGACAGATTTTACCGGTAATTCCAAAGGGTAGCAGGCAAGAAATTGTGCTGGCGACTTTAAACTCATCCTTCATTTGGCCCTTTTGCAAGGTACTAAGGCTAACGAAGAACATGAGAGTGCGAAGTGGATCAGACGATGTTAACTCTGCATACATAAAAAGGTTCATTGATTGGAATTTAAAGATAGGGGACGGAGTTCTAGGTGACAATGAGGATGGAGAATCATATATTGACATACCTGAAGAATTCCTCGTGCCTTGGATTTCTGATCCAGTTACTTCTATTGTCCAGAGTACATATCCCAATTTCTTAGCACAATGCACATCACCATCATATTTAATGTCAAGAGCAATACTTGCGCCAACAGTTGACGAGGTGGACAAGGTTAATGATTACATGCTCGCACAACTATCATCACAGATGAAGACATATTTCAGCTCCGATTCTGCATCATTATCTGATTCTGATAGTAGTTTGTTGCAAGAGATCCATTCTCCAGAATTCCTTAATGGAATCAAATGTTCCGGAGTACCTAGCCATGAGCTCAAATTAAAAGTGGGTGCCCCTGTGATGCTTATGAGGAATCTTGATCAATCATTGGGTTTGTGTAATGACACTCGACTTTTAGTGACCCGACTTGGAAACCATGTTATTGAGGCCCAAATGTTGTCAGGGCCAACTGTCGGCCAAAAACATTTCATTCCCCGTCTTACCTTGACTCCTTCTGATGTCAGACTGCCATTCACCTTTCAGCGCAGACAATTCCCTCTGATGGTTAGTTATGCTATGACTATGAATAAGAGTCAGGGCCAGTTATTGGAAAATGTGGGGATATTCTTACGGCGACCGGTTTTCACCCATGGGCAGCTTTATGTTGCTGTATCAAGAGTCACGAGTCCAGCTGGTTTGAAGTTTTTGATATGTGACGATAATGGTAGACCGACAAACTCCACATTAAATGTTGTGTACAAAGAGGTCTTTAACAATTTGTAATATTACTTTTTGTCTTGAATAAAATTGAGAGCTTTTTATTTCAAATCCAAAGACAAATCTTATGCATTCGTTTAGGAAATTAGTTAAATTAGTATAAAATAATAAAAATTAATGTTTTGGACCATGCATGCTGGGTGGGGGAATATATTAATATCAAATAAATTAAAATGAACTTTTCACTCCCGTGCAACGCACGGGTTAAAATACTAGTATTACTAAAAAGAAACAAAAAATGTGTATTTTAGAATGGCAAGCCACTGTAAATGACGAGTTACTGTGAACTAGTCATTAAATATGTCACTTTTTGAAAATTTTAAAATAAGTCATATTTTGCCTTTTGAATTTAATTTAGTAATATTCATGGAAAAAAGCTTATATTATATTGCAGAACTGTATATGGTGATAAGAATTTGATTCACGTAATTAAGGATTCAAAGAGAGTTGGATAATTTGGGGTTGACGGCAAAATAGTGATAGTAATTAACTTCAAATTGAGGTGGAGTTAATATGGAAGATTTGTTGTTTTACTCTTGTAACTTTTGATTGTGTTCTTTATTACGGGTCTTTTACCAAAACACGTGAAAACTTGGATGGGGTTGCCAAAATAGGGTGTTTTACCGAAATACGAGAAAAGGAGGTTGGGGTTGCCAAAATGCGGGGATATTTCTAGGGTTTACCAAAATAGGGTGTTTTTGCGCAATTCTTAATTTTTTGATTTTGTGTTTTAAAAACTAAAAGTTTTAAATTCTAGGCTAAATTCCATCCATTTAGAAGTTTTTTAGATTTCTGGCAAAAACAACCTCTCCCCTCCTGTCGGATTAGGGACTTCCGACTAGGAGGTTTTTATATTTTTTTTGCGCAATTCTTAATTTTTTGATTTTGAATTTTAAAAACTAAAAGTTTTAAATTCTAGACTAAATTCTATCCATTACCCCTCCTGTCGGATTGGGGACTTCCGACTAGGAGGTTTTTTTATTTTTTTTCGCAATTCTTAATTTTTTGATTTTGAGATTTAAAAACTAAAAGTTTTAAATTCTAGGCTAAATTCTATCCATTCCAAATTTAAAAGTTTTTTTAGATTTCTGGCATATTTTTTAGAATGAAAACTTAGCATTTTGATTTTTTGAGTAACAAAACATTTGATTGCTTTATATTGTTTTTTAATCCATTTGTATTATTGTGAATTTTGTTTTAATTGCAATTTTGTAATTTTAAGTACAATCTTGATTTAATTCATTCATCAAATGAGATACAAATTTGATTTTGTTTTAAGTGCAATTTTTGTAACTTTAATGGAAGTGAACAAAACAAATGTAGTTTTCAATGTAATTTATTAATGAATAGACAGTACATATAATATTAAATTTAATACTACATTTAACGTTGCGTGCTCGCCCTGCTCCGTCCCCACCGCGAGTGTTCCAAGGCCCCGTTGTGTCTCCATAGTAAAATGACGAATCCAGAAATGAATCAACATAATCACCCGCTTGTGTTGAGTACTGATAAGAATCATAATACGGCGGTGGTTGATCAAATGGGACACCTTGATGCATTGAGAATTGAGGGGGTGGGTGATCAAATGAGACACCCTGACGTGTTGAGAATTGAGGAGGTGATTGTGAGTGCTCACCCCCACCTTCATGTTCATCTGCATAATCCTCTTCGTCACTTCCACCTTCATCTTCATCTTCATAATGGAATATGCCCCGATGGAGCATCTCTTCATCACCTACGTCCAGGGCCATCCGATGTAGTCGTTTTTGACAGTCTTCATGACTCGTGCGGTCGGCTAAGAGCTGATACACCTCGTTAAAGCCTTGCTTCTGCATAAAAATGTAACACGTGTAAATAATATGACATGATATATGTTAATGAATATGGTATGTATTCAAAAACTTACCACAATACCCCAATCGTGTGATGTCGGGATGTAGCCTGTCATGGGCACATTGTGAGAAGGGTTCTGCACACGTGTCATACCATGCTTCTGGTACCATTTTCGGCACCTCTTAGTTGCTTTGACGGACATATGTCGATCATAATCAAGAAAGTATATATTATGTTGTATGTCCGCCCACAACGCCAAGGCACCGGTTACTATGTTGGAACGATTGCCATCATGATCAGTAAATATCTGTTTGTCTTAGTGAGGCGTGGTAAAATGTGGTTATGTGAATTAAATGATCAAATCCGCATATAAGGATGTTTTTACTTGGATTGTTTTCACTCTCAGATCAGACCAGACAAGACCAGATCAGATCAGATCAGACCAGTTCAGATAAGACAAGACCAGACATGGATAGTTATAAAAATATAAAGAGACCAGCCATTACTAGACCAGACCAAACTAGTTCAAACCGGACCAGATCAGTTCAGACCAGACTAGACCAACAAATTACAGTCCAAGTAAAAACATCGTAAATCCACGCGCGTGAAGTCGTGAACATGCAGGGGTGGATCTACAATTATGTTCAAAGTGCGTGATTTTTGGGGTGATTTCCCAAAATACGGGAAAGGCTAACATCGGTTGCCAGCGGGAGTCGGATTTCACTCGACCCAGTAAGGACTCAATCATCCGAAGGTTATGCCATCAACCTATATCGTGAACATGAGTTATGAAATTGATCACGAGTTACTTAATATATAGATAGAATTTTAATATTCACAATTGTGATTCATGTTTTTTAGACCCGGATCATAAAAACCCCAATTCGACCCATTAAGGACACAATCATCCGATGTTTATGCAATCAGCCTATATCATGAACACGAGTTGTGAAATTGACTACGAGTTTCTTAATACACAGATGGAACTTTAATATTCACACTTTTGATTCACATTTTAAGACCCAGATCATAAAAAATCCAATTCGACTCAGTAAGGATACAATCATGTGAAATGTAACCGGCCTATATCATGAACATGAGTTATAAAATTGACAAGGAGTTTTAATATTCGCACGGGTGTACAAAATCGAATTTGTATTTCATTTTATGAATTTAATTCACAATACGGATGGATTAATAAATAAAATAAAGTAACCAATATTTTGATATTAAAAAAATCAAACTCCATACTATTCATTTTAAAATATAAATTCGAAATTCCTAAATTCCAATTTTAACTCAAATTATAAATTCCTAATTTCGAAATTTGTATTCTAATAATTAATTAACACAGAAATAATAAGGGTATGATGCATAGTAAGTAATCTGATGCTTCGATATAATGGGAATATTTGATGGAGAACACAAATCCCTTCAATTCCCTATTGTGTGTTTGTGTAAAAAAATTGTATACAATCCAATTTATATAATTAAATGGAAATGGGATCTATTTATTATAAAAAAAAAGAATTACTCCTGTCGGATTTGCCAGTTCCGACTATAGGGAGTATGTTTGTATTGTAATGGGATTTTACCATTCCTTTATTATACTAAAATAAAGGAAAACAATAAAAATTAATTAGAAATACCCTAGTCGGATTCTCCAATTCCGACTAGGTGTTTATTTTGTTTATTTCGAGCTCCTTCTCCTGTCGAAAGAGGTAAATCCGACTCCCGTATTTTGGTAACCTTTTTGGATTGTCAGACAAAAAAGTCCTGTTTTTTGGTAAATTCCTCGTTTAATAAATTCCTCGCCAAAATACGGGTTTGTTTTAGGGTTTACCAAAAAGGGAGAGTCGGAACACCCAGTTCCGACTAGGGATAGGGTTTCGAAATAAAATACCTCCCCTCCTGTCGGATTAGCCACTTCCGACAAGGGGTTTATACATATACTCCCTCCGTTTCTGAAACAAGTTCCACATTTGACTTCACACATATTAAGAAAATAAATTTGACTTTACTGTGGAGTGCACTGTTTGGCACTGTTTGAACACGGTTTGGCACTGTTTGACACTGTTTTGATGTAGATAATTTGCCAAATAAGGAAATGTTTGAACTTTGAAAGTGGAACTTAATTTTGAATCTGCCCGAAAAGGAAAGGTGGAACTTGTTTCAGAAACGGAGGGAGTATTTTTTTGCCAACTCTTAAGTTTTTTATTT